GGACTGGCCTAAGGGTTATCTTAATTTTGGTTTTAAAATAATTTTAATAAGAAAAGGCCAATAATTAATATTCTATTTTAATTACATTTTAAATTAGCATTTTTGTATTACGTACTGTTTTAAATGGCTGTAAGCCGCCCTGAGTCCGTTTGGAGAAGGGCGGGGTAGAAATTTAATAAAATCAAAAATCAAATCAAATCAAATAAATACAGGTATTATATTGACTTACGATCATAATTTAGCCCCAAATTTCCATTTGTAAGCAAAACAGTTGTTAAGTGAGTTTTGCCCCATTTTACATTTCTTACCACAGTTGTTAAGTGAATCACTACAATTGTTAAGTTAGTAACACGGTTGTTAAGTGAATCTGGCTTCCCCATTTCTTTTGCTTGTCAGAAGGTCGCAAAAGGTGATCACGCCATCCCAGGACAATGCAACCATCATAAATACATGCCAGGTGCCAAGCATCCGAAATCTGAATGTGACCGTGAGGATGCTGCAATGGTTTTAAGTGTGAAAAACAATCATAAGACACTTTTTTCAGTGCTGTTGTAAATTTCCAGGATGGAAAATGATTAGCTTATCAACAACAACTGAAGAAAACTTTGTGACACAAGGTTCAGCACCAGAGTTTTATTCATTCATCTAAATATCCAAAAATTATAACTCTCCTGTCTCATCTGAGAGATGCTAACTAGAGGTACAATGATAACTGCTAAAAAATAAATCTGTTATATTTATACATGTACTTTTTTTCAATGTAGAAAACAGAAAGCTTTCTGGAAGTTTTCCTCTATTAATCAGGATAATTTGCATATCATACATTGCACAGCAAACGTTTCAAAACTTAAACAATTATCAATTATAATATAGAATCATTCCTGATAAACTATTACAAAGTTGTTTGTCGCTTTATTCCAACTTACAAGTCATTCTAATATACAGTACATATACACAAAACACATAAATATGCACATATAACACATACACACATATGAACTCGAAAACAAGATTGCCTGCTCTCTGGCTTAAGCTGGCATATTTTCATTATTACTGATTAAGTCATGAAATAGATCCTCAGTACTAACACACAGTTTTGCCTTCATTAACAGTTATATATCTCCCATTGGGCAAATTCTTTTTCATCACCGTATAACTATCACTCACCCATAATTTGCTAATCAATTAAAGAGTTGAAAGAGGAAGATTTGGCCTACCAGACTGGACAAAGTATTATCAGGCAGCGGCATTGGTCTGGCTAAGTGAGTGGATGCATCTCAAAAATACAAGATTATTAGCACTAGAAGGTCATGATCTACAGACAGGGTGGCATGCTACTTTGTGGGAAGAAAGACATTTAGTCCAGCAACACTTCCGGAAGCATTATATTAGGAGAGCATTATTGGATATCTGGAAAAAAAAATAATAATTATAGGAAAATCCCCAACTGGGTGTCTACATTAGAAATGTATACACATCCAAATTTGATAAAACGTGGGGGTGCTGTCACCTATAAAGATATCTTGAATGAGAAAGGAGAATTAAAAGTGAGAAATACCTTAAAGGAAGAAGGAATTGATCTGGAATGGTGGGCGTATCTTCAAATTCAATCCAAATTTAATAAAGACAAAAAGGAACGGGGCATAAAGCAAGATTCTTCAGAATTAGATAAAATCTTATTTAGCAGGGAAGGCAAGACTATAAGTAAATTATATCGATACTTATTAGGGCAAGATATGATTGAGGAACAGGTGAAAGAAACGATGATAATTTGGTGTAAATATTTTGGGCACAATATTGATTTGGATATTTGGCAAAATTTATGGGGAAAAAATCTAAAAATTACTCTAGCAACCTCCTATAAGGAAAAACCTCTATAAGATGTTTTATAGGTGGCACCTCCCTCCCACAAGATTAGCACAAATGAACAAGGGGAAATCCTCGATATGCTGGAAGTGTGAAGAGACCGTTGGGAATTACTACCACATGTGGTGGCAATGCCAAAAGGCACAAAAATTTTGGAACTTATTAAAGAAGTGGTTGGAAGAAATTTTGCAAATAGATATAAAAGCCAAGCCGGAATTTTTCTTATTGGGAATTATAGAAAGAAAATATAAGAAAGACACAAATTATTTACTACTGCATATAGTAACAGCGGCACAAATAGCCTTCGCTCAAAAATGGAAAGAGAAAGTTACTCCAATCGAAGAGGAAATATTATTGAAAATTTTCAATTGTGCTGAAATGGATAGACTTACATGGGAACTCAAGGACAAAAGTGAAACCAAGTACTATAAAATCTGGGAACAATTTTATGATTGGATAGACAATAAGAGGGTAGCCAAGATAAATGTATAGTGCTAGAATAAAATATAGATTATAGACAAATGTATATTTAAAAGATAAATAGATATATAGAAATAAGGGGAAAAGTGTAAATAGTATATTATAAATAGTGAGCAAAGTTCAAGAACTATATGTCTATATGAGTACTAATACTATTGTAAAATGTTGGAAGATGTATGGAACCAGTGACGTCATATCTATGTCCAATGTGTTTTTAATTTTGTATTATTAATAAAAAATTTTAAAAAAAGAAACCTCTCAGTTCTGGGACACATAGGAATTTGTCCTTAGACATACCTGTTAAGTAGCATTATTGCCATGAGACAGTCCAGAAATTAAAACTAAGAAACATTTAGGTCATCCTGTCAGTTCTTTGCCACAGGATAAGTCTCCTCTGGTATTTCTCAACATGGCTTTCATTAATAGTATCAAGGGATACTATTAGTTAAGGAATCCAAATGGCACTTCCCCTGAAAAACTAAAGAAAGTGACCATGCAGCACTATTAATGGCGGTCAATATTTTGCCATAATAGAGGTGCAACTATAGAATATCAGAGCTGTCAGTGTCCACAGAGTGTCATAAACAATCAAATTTGTCAATTCAGCAGTAGACACTCAAAACCATATAATATTATAGCCCAGTATTTCTCAACTTCAACAACTTCTAACACTGTATTTATGGACTTCAACTCCCAACATTCCACAGCTATGGTATCAATATCACACAGGACAAAGTGACTTCACACCAACTCAATTTCCAAATAATCAGATTCTTAGACTGTCTAGTATCTCTGTGCCACATGCTCCAAGCAGTATAAAGAGAAAAAAGCCACATGAAATATGACAGATACTGATTTAATCCCTAGAATCAAAGAGAACAAACTGATGCTGTTAAGATTCAAAATACAATGTAGGACCCTGTATGCAACTCATGTTAAACACACATTGTAACAAGATTAGGGAGAGGCTGGATAATCAAGTCACTCCCTGTGGTACAATGACTGCAAGGTTGTTAATTGTACAAGTTAAACAAGTCAGCAAGGAGGAGGTCATGTGCTTTAGGTACCTACTAAGTTATAACAGTTTCAAAAATTCTTCCCAAAGACAGTGACAGTGGCCTTTTTTGCCCAGATGCATTTCAGCTATGCCAGTGGTTCTCAACCTTTTTAATGCCGCGACCCCAACCGGTCATAAGTCAAGGACTAAACCGGTCGTAAGTCGAGGACTAAACCGGTTGTAAGTCGAGGACTAAACTGGTCGTAAGTCGAGGACTACCCAACCGGTCGTAAGTCAAGGACTTTCCCTGCCCGGGAGCGCCGCGCATGCGTGGTTCCGCCCCCTGCACCAGCCGAGGCGTAGCTGGCAGGGCGGCAGAGACGGAGCAGGCCGACCACCAGCTGGCCCAGCCCAAGGGAGGTAAGGCACCCGCCAGAAAAGGGGAAAAAATGGCGGACAAAAAAAATGGCGGACAAAAAAAATGGCGGACAGCCTTGCTTGGCGACCCCCATGAAATGGTCGATCAACCCCAAATGGGGTCCCGACCCACAGGTTGAGAACCACTGAGCTAGGCATGCAGAAGTAAAAAAAATGAATGTGTATCTGTCTGCTCATATCTCTCACAATATAAGACAGAATAAAAGCAGAAAGAACACAAGCTCACCGATCCTTATATTAGCAAAGCTGGAGAAAAATTCCTTATGCCACTTAAATCTGAAACTACCGTACTTGATACTCAAAGAAAAAATAAACCCTTCATAGCAAGGGAGTCTCCCAGAACTGTGGGAGTGTTTGCTCATCTTGAGTCATGCATTTCCATAAACTGAGTAACGCAAGAATGTCTCTGGTATGTAAAAAGTAATTCCCTTTAAGAGAGGGCAACTAGAAAAGGTCTATCCATGATGTTTTCCATGAATCCTTTATAAAATCTAGGAAGGAACCATACTTGATAGATATTTCCATTCAAAGCCAAATTTGCTTCTTTGTCTTAAAAAAATACTGTCAGGTAGACTGATGCTCAGCAATCCCACCCAACACCAGAAACTATTTTGGGGGGAAAAATTGAAGATGGGGTTCAGGCACTTTGTACAAAGATCTAGCTCTCTAGAAAAAGCTCTAATTCTGGGAAAGATGGAAGGAGAGAAAAAGATTGCCAGAAACAAAGTGGATGGATTCAATTATAGTCCCTATAGTCCAGTGACTGCAACACTGGAAGACCTGAAAGACCAATTTAGGAATATGACTTGATGGCTACGGTACTAATGCTAACAGGTTGGGAGAACCAGGATGATTTTACCTGACTTAATTTTTGTAGACAGTACCCAAATATTACAGGGTGCTCAGAGGTTAATCAGGAAATCCTCTTAAGATATGCTGAGGAACAGCTATGATCCTGATTCACAGTGAAAAATTACAAGAGTCCTTCAGTGCTTTACTGATATAAATACTGAGTATAACATAAAAACCTCTGTGTGCACCATGTACTGTAAACCTTTATGACATCAACTCACAAACATATCATGTTTTATAGGCTATCTGAAGGGTAAAGAGAGAAATTAAAGAAATTAAAGAACAGGAACCAGCAGTAAAGTACATACCTATCTATATTCCTATTGCCAAAAACACAAACCAAATTCTCTCATATTTCATTTGAAAGGTGGGGAAGGAGGATGGAGAAACTGTAATGTGCAAAACATTAAATGTGATCTTATAATTATCTATTCCCAAGAAACAGTAACCACAAATGAGAAAGACCAGGTTATCTTCATAGAATAGGATACTGACATCTCAGCAAAGAATTGCCATTAAACTTATGGAAATAAATTCAGTCTTTGCTTTACATACTGAAATACTAAAGCACTCAACCAACACAAACCCTAAAAGGAAATACTAAAGCACTCAACCAACACAAACCCTAAAAGGAATATATCAGAAACCACCAATAGACTACTACAACCAAATGTAATCAGCATAGCACTCAAGCCAACCAAAGCCCTTTAAAACATCCTAAGCAAACCAAAAGACCCAGCAACTCCAGAAGAAAAAACAGGAGTCATCTTAATATACAATGTAATGACTTCAAAAAGCACTATGTAAGACAAACAGGCAGAAGACTGGCAGAACACATCCATAAACACCAACTAACAGTCAGAAGATATGATGAAAACTCTTTAATTTCACAACATATAGACAAACTTAACCATAGTTTCAATTGGGAAAATATGACCATCCTACACCAAGCCAAATCCAAAAATGCCAGGGAATTTGTAGAAGCCTGGCAACTCTGGCAACTCTGACAAATTAGCCATCAATAGTCCCAAAGGTGCTTTTTCAGGAGGTAACTGGACTTTCTTGTTTTGCTTTGAAGACTTTTCACTTCTCATCCAAGAAACTTCTTCAGATCTGACTAGATGGTGGGGAAGAAGCTTCTTGGATGAAAAGCTAAACGTTTGTTTTCAAAGAAACAAGAAAGTCCAGTTCCCTTCTGAAAAAGCACCTTTGGGAGGACCTGGATACCTGAGAATCTCCATAGACATTTAGCCATCAATAGACATTAACAACATCTATACCCTATGCAAAAGAGACAGTCAACCAGCCAAAGACCCAAACACCTCTCCACCAGCAATCAGCACCCATATCACAATAGATTAACTCCAAGATTAACATCAGACCAACAATCAAGTAAACAATACCCCAATCAAAAAACTGCCAAAGAAGCCAACAGTAAACAGCTCAACCAAAGAATCTCTAAGACCACCCCCACCCACACTAACAGGACAAGCCACTAGAATATAAACTGAGAGCAAACTGCACTCCTTACCAGCACTGATGATGTTACCTAGTTTGGGTAATGAAACATCTGCAAGAAAACAAGCAAGCTCAGACAGCACCAAGGACCCTGCACTGAAATACTAAGTCTAAGATTAACTGCAACTTATTCTGTCTTTAAATTCTGCACTATTTCTGCTTCCACCTAGATGACTGGCTTCAAGAGCCTCAGAAAAAGGTCAATAACTAATCTTCATTAAATTTTTGCCCAATTTTGAATAGCTTTGTGTGACTTTGAAGAAAGCACTATCTTTGTCTAGACTCAGTCTAGCTTATAGGGTAATTCTGATGATAAAATTATACAAATAGTGTATTATTATTTGTTCAATTTGCTTTCCACTTTTCTATCCAGAGGCTGTTTCCAATGGTTTCATACATCTGTACAAATTTTTACATTAGCATACAGTATGTGATCAAAGTTTACCACTATAACTGCTATTCTGTTTTAAAAAGACATCCCATGCAAATTCCAGAAAACTTAAAGACCAACAAATTATTAAGTTTTCCCATATATATACACATACATACATAACTTGCCACATACGTAACACTATTTACTTCTGCTGCTATTCTATCATGGTTTCAGCAGGCATTATCCCATCTCTCTGAATTTTATGGATTACAATATAAGCTGGCTTTATATTAGTAACGTTATCAAGCCATAATAGTAAATATTAAATGATTATACATCAACAGAGCACCACTGATTTTATTAAAATAACATTTTATGTTAATTTAAGTAATATAATAACAAGGAATCTGGTGGTATCTTAAAGACCAACAAATTATTAAGTTTTCCCATATATATATACATACATAACTTGTTAGTGTTAAAAGGTCCTACATGGCTCTTTACTATTTTTTACAGCAAAAAAGATATCACAGGAATTATTTTAATTAATGTTAGCCATTTTTAATAATCCAGTTAAGAAGGAGAAAATCAGATTTCTCTAAGCCAATACATTTGAGAAGGCTTAGTTTGGGGACAACTGTAACAAGTAAAACCACCATAAGTGGAAAGAAAACAGAAACAATACTTACACTATTCTGAGGTGTCATGGAGAAGAAAGGGTAGAATTTAAAATAGTAGTAGGAACGAAAAGAAAGCACATTTTTCTTCCTCCCCTTCTTCTGTTTACACTGCACTTAGATTGCAAGTTTCCCTAAGGAAGGATTTCTTCTCCTGCAAACTATAAACACTGATGCTGCCAAGAATAATTTCTTACGCTTCTTTCCTTTTCCTTCCATCTCCAGGTGACGTAAGTGTGCTCATATTTCGCCCTCCCTTCAGCAATAGTCCCGCAAGGTTGCCTGAATATTAACTAACATATAACGTTAATGTCAGCGCTAACATTATTACCCCAATACTAAACCTAATAATACGCTTCAATTAATGTTTATAATTTAGTAGCTTCTAATTTCCGGAGCGGCAAAGGGGGGGGGACGGAGATGCGACCTCTTTCGCTCCCCAAACCCCGTCCATCCTCACCTCTTCTCCGCCGCTTCTTCGACCAGATCCAGCCGAGGGACAGACTCCCCTCTCCGGCCTCCCTCCGCCTCACCCGCTGCCTTCTTCTCTCGGCTTCTTCCCGTCCCTTGACGGGTTTACGTCACTTCCGCAGAAGGAAACGGGCATTACTGAGCGCGTTCGAGCCCTAAGCGTCAAGTTCGAAGCGTAAACAAGGGCAAATGAATGAAGGGCTTATGCGCATGTGCATTTTAGACGGATATTCGGCTGGTGGGGGGTATTCGAAAGTAAAGTTCCAATACATCCGTGCAAGGACCTTTGATTTCTGGTCCATTCTTAACCAGCCGGCGGAATGGATGAAGTAAGAAAGGCGTTTAAGTTTCATTCATTTTATTTTTTATTCATATCAGAAATAACAGGTATCCTGTTCTCTGTCCCCTGCGCCTTTCCTGTGAATGAGCGTTAACATGTTTTCTAAATTTATTTTAGCGATATAGACCTTACCACCGCAGAGTTGAATAATAATAATAAAAAAAAAACCCGTGAGAAAAGGACAGTTACACTGGGCGCTATCTAACAAAATGAAATTCAATGGTGAAAAAAGTAAGGTTCTACATTTAGGCAAGAAAAACCAAATGTACAGGTATAGTATAGGGGGTACCTTGCTCAATAGTAGCAACTGTGAGAGGGATCTCGGAGTCCTAGTGGACAATCACCTAAATATGAGCCAGCAGTGTGCTGCAGCTGCCAAAAAAGCCAACACAGTGCTGGGCTGCATTAACAGAGGGATAGAATCAAAATCAGGTGAAGTATTAATACCACTTTACAATGCCTTAGTAAGACCACACTTGGAATACTGCATCCAGTTTTGGTCACCACGATGTAAAAAAGATGCTGAGACTCTAGAAAGAGTACAGAGAAGAGCAACAAAGATGATTAGGGGACTGGAAGTTAAAACATATAAGGAACGGTTGCTGGAATTGGGTATGTCTGGTTTAACGAAGAGAAGGATGAGGGGGGACATGATAGCAGTGTTCCAATATCTCAGGGGCTGCCACAAAGAAGAGGGAGTCAAGCTATTCTCCAAGGCGCCTGAAGGCAGGACAAGAAGCAACGGATGGACCTCGATGACCTCCAAGGTCCCTTCCAACTTTATTATTATTATTATTATTATTATTATTATTATTATTATTATTATTATTACGATTGTTAGTGTATATGCAATAAGAATCTATCTGGACCATAGCATATGCGAAAACCTACTCTTAGGAATACACAAATGGCTTGGTTTTTCTGCCTCTTTTTACCCGAGGTCAGTTGTAGCCAAACCTCTCCCATTCCTTACACTTTAAAATTCCAATTGATGCAATGGAGGGACAGAGTTTAATCAGTCGATACATCTCCCAACGTATAAGGAGAGATTTCTTACTGTTATTAAAAATACAGTAGATGTATGGACTCAAATACAGTAATTTAGAAAAGAATCTTAACAATTCCTGTGCCAAATGTTTATGCCCTTACCCCACACCTGTGTAAGGTCCAATTATGCCTGCCTAATTATTAGTAAACATCACTTTTTTTCATGCTCAGAGGCATCTTTTTAGATGGTTCCCAGTTCCTTATGTAAGCACTGTAGTAGTTCAAATACATCTAGTTTTGTTAAGGCACCAGGCTAGAAACCAGGAGACCATGAAACACAAAACCAGCTGAATGACCAGTTACTCTCAGCCTAAGAAGCAGGCAAGGGCAAATTACTTCTGAAATCTTGCTAAGAATAGAATAGAGCTGGAAGGGAACTTGGAGGTCTTCTAGTCCAGGTCCCTGCTCAAGCAGGAGAACCCCTATACCATCAGACAAATGACTGTCTAGTCTCTTCTTAAAAATCTTCAGTGATTGAGCGCCCACAATTTCTGAAGGCAAGCTGTTCTACTGGTTAATTGTCCTCACTGTTAGGAAGTTTCTCCTTAATTCCAGGTTGTTTCTCTCTTTGGTCAGTTTCCAATCATAGTTTCTTGTCTTGCCCTCTGGTGCTTTGGAGAATAGTTTGACTCCCTCTTCTTTGTGGCAGCCCCTCAAATACTGGAATACTGCTATCATCACCTCTATTTCTTCTTTTCTTTAGACTAGCCAAACCCAAGTCCTGCAGCTGTTCTTCATACATTTTAGTCTCCAGGCCTTTGATCATTTTAGTTGCTCTTCTCTGAACTTTTTCCAAGGTCTCAACATCTTTTTTTGTAGTATGATGACCAGAATTGGTTGCAAGGACTTATCCAGACAGTTGCCAGAAATTAAGACTGATTTAAAAGCACACATACAGACACCATACAAACACAAAGTACTTTAGATGTAACATTTAGAAGTCATTAAACTTGTATTCAAAATATAGAGATATCATGATTGTTACATGCCTAACAAAGATAATGCCCATTGTACTTGTTCAGGAGAGCTATTTCAGGGTTTCATGAAGGGTCTGTTGAATAGCATAGGGGATAAAATGCAACCCTGAGGGACACTCTAAGAGCCAACTGCCAGGGCTTTATATCACATATGCTGATTAGATTATCTCAGCATAGATGATCAGCATAGATTAACTCCAAGATTAACATCAGACCAACAATCAAGTAAACAATACCCCAATCAAGAGACTGCCAAAGATGCCAACCGCAAACAGCCCAACCAAAAAAAGATTTCTAAGACCACCCTCACCAACACTGACAGGGTAAGATACTAGAATATAAATTGACAGCAAACCACACTCCTTACCAGCAGTGATGATGTTACCTAGTTTGGGTAATGAAACATCTGCACGAAAACAAACCAGATCAGAGAGCACCAAGGACCCCCTCATTTCAACCCTGAGCTACAAATATTCTCCTTTATACACTCCCATGTAGTTGGCAACACAGCTCTTGTCAATTCCATCAAAAATTCAGCCAAGAATATGCTTCACATCTCCCCTCTTTCCCATATACATATTTTATGGACACCAAATCACTGGCTGGCTCCTGTCATAACTGTAACTATCATAACTTTTTCCTTAAAGTCTGTCCCAAGAATGTTGGCTTTAAAAAACTATAGTGCTAAGCAGATTATTTTAATTCCAGCTCTGTGTTTACCCTTTTTTCAGATTTAAAAAGATCATTGCAAGTTAGATTAGGTAATGAGATAATTTATTGCACAATACTGACACAACATATTTCAATACAGTTTACACATGAGGAGTTTGGTGGAATCATATTTTGTCTTAGCATTGTTTACCATTTCAACATAAAGAGTAACATTCACATTCCAATTACATTTCACTTTTTTTTTCCAGATGGCATTTTGGCTGCAATTTTATACACATTTATTGTATATATAGGACTGCACAAAAAAATCATAAGGAATCAACGCATCTGACTAAAATTATTTAAGTGTATAAATAATAGAAATTACTAAATTGACATAATACATTAAGGATTACACATTATTTATGTAAAGCATTTTATATCCGGATTATATTATTTATGCATGTAAATTTTAATTTATTTGTACTGAAGTACAATGTGGGGAGATTCTTTAGATTCACAAATCAACATAGTTCTAGGAAAATAATAATCCTATGTTCTCAAAAGTAAATGTTCCACAGTGATTATTCTTTGTTTTTAGGATTGCAACCTAAATAATTTCTGAGGAGCATTTTTCTGAATAATTCCAAATTGTAGCAATGTGCAGCATCCCATCCCTAAACACTATATTGATTGTGATACCAGTAATTTTAATAATTAAGTATACTAAGATTCTTGACAAATTTTAGATTTCTACATTGGCCAGAAGCTACCTGGGAGGTCCGATACATCAGAAGATCATTAATCTCCCAGCAAACTGACCCTAAGCAAAAGATAGGCAAGCTAGCATGCTAATCCTTAACCATTAGCTTCACAGGTCTCATGTATTTGCTACTTGTGCTGTTGCTAGCACCCTATTTTATCTCTGCTCAACAATTACGCACTGCATAGGAGCCCTTGGGATTAGCAACCGGCAGTCACCCAAAGTAACAAACAATAAAAATGACAGGAAAGAAAAACCTGATGGGACGTTAGTCCTGATGGGGACTCATCAAATATTTGATGAACATCTGGATTCAAGAGAGAGAGACAGAAAAGTACATTTTCTAAAGTTTAATTATTCCTTTTTTGAAAATTATTCTGCCACTATATTTTTCTCCACCATCTATGGTATTTTCTACACACTACTAAAATTCTCCTGTTTGTGCCCTTCAGTTAGACCAAATGGCACATTATACCAGAATAATTTTTGAATAAAAGTATCTCAAATGTGCTAAGTTAAAGGATGTGTAAAATATGTGGGACCCATTATTCTTGTGGAATTGAAATTTACTCATTGTTTATACCTGTCAGGTGAAAGCAATTGGAATTACTCGTAAATAGGCCCAAGTGATTACCTATATTACAGGAATCTTGCCAGACTGCCTGCTTTCCCTTGGGAAATGGCAACTATAGACCTAAGGGTTTGATCTCAGATGTTTCCTCCTCCAGATTCTAAGGTGAAATGACTCCTTATTCCCACTAGATAAGGCCCCTCACCTTCCATCAATGGTTCTACCACATTGCCAGTTTAGTTCCGCATTCATGCGGTCATATCATATACTTGATAATATGATGATGGGAACATTCAGCATGGGAACAAAACCAATACGGTCAGCCTAATTATGCCGTGTGGAAAGAGAGGGGGGATATTAGTCAAGAGATGACACCAAACATCAGGAAGTAGCAAAGGGGAACAGAAATCAGATGGGAAAATTTACCATTCATTCTGGTTACATCGGACTGCACTACCTTTCTCTCAAAAGATAACTCAACAGGTAGTAGGTTGTCTAGTAGAATTCCAAAAGGATGGCAACCATTGGTCCAGTCGAATACCATAAGAACATGAGACTTTGTCAATCAAAAAGTGAGCACATGTTGCTAACTCATCCATCTTAATTTGGCTCAACCTAATATAATATCTTACCTATACTGAAATTATACATTCTGCTAAGCCATACTTTAAATATCACTTTTAAGTAAGCTGTGATTGGCTGAATTAGTGCAACACACTGATCCATAGCTGTATGGAAACCAAGGTAACTGAATCCACATTACAATCAACCCAATTCAACAAATCGTACTGTAGCTCAGTAGTTGGAAGAAGCACACTGAGTACTATTGGACAAGGAGATGTGAACTATTTTTCATGTCTCCTCTTCATCTAACCTTTATATCAGGACATAAACTACTGTGATTGGCTCAGTTTCAGAAAATAAATTGCAGATCCATCTCTGCAAGGAAACATGTATTTAAAAACTATCAACAGGTAAAGCTCTCATTGTAAAGACCAGGCACAATTCATTTTCATAATCATTTCATTTCATTTTTATGAAGAATGTAATCTAGATAGCTTGAAGAAACCATAACATATCCAACAAATGAAATTATCATTTATCAGGAAGATGGAAATAAATTAATTTTCAACACATCTATACATACCCCAGCACAGATTTATAGTTAAAACAATAACTTTCAACATATCTATACATACCCCAGCACAGATTTATAGTTAAAACAATAACTTTGAACACAAACTTAAGGAATTTTTTTCAGCCATTTTCTTCTTTAAAAAATCACCTCAGCATTCAGAGGTACTTCATTCTTTTGTTCTAAAAGTTGTAAGAAATGAAATCATGAGCAGCAGAAATGGAAGTTGTACAAAATAAAGTGCTGCTATATACTTCTGCCACCAGGTGGCTACATCAACAGCTAACTGAGTCTCTGTAGAAAGAATCCTTTGAAACATTTTACCCTGGCAAGATCCACGTTTGCAAAGCAGTGCAAAGCGAGTGAGGCAGTTGGACTGTGGAGGTCAGCTGTGTGCAAGAGCCCTTTAAAAACCTCTGCAAGCTCTGCAAGCAATATGATCATTCTTATCTATGGCCGTGACTATTCTGTAGTATCCGCATTAACATGCTTCCTTTTAGGAGGATTTTTCCTTCTTTGAAGCAAGAAGCATAGGGCAAATTCCGGTGAGCTCCACAGCTAGGTTTGGAGGACACATTCTCCTGCAAGATAGACAGATTCCAACACATATCAGTAATACCACAGTTCACAGAACTCAGACCAGTAATACATAAAGAAGGTTTACACACCAGCTTGCTCTCTTTCATGCTCCTTGTGCTAAGGGCCTACCACCATGTTATCTTGAATTCATAGATTGGGCGCTTGCAATAGTAATGGTTAATCAAGTGTTTGTCACACACCCCAATACATTGGTGGTCAACTGTGATGCCCCTGTTGGAAAGGTCCGTCACAATGCAATGGAGGAGGTCATACACATCTGCCACGGCTTCCCAGGGCCCAAAGGATACATCCACCTCACAATGGTGCTCAAAAAGCTTGGCCTCCCCTTCACTCCTCTCAAAACGGAGGGAGTTGAAAAGTGGGCACTCGTAGGGTGTGATGGGCATCTCTTCTTTGAAGACACAGATCTTTAGCTTAGCAAAGCGTGCTTTCCTTTGCATTGCCCGCAGCTTAGCTATTTCAATGATTCGCTCTAAGTGCTCTAAAAAGCAAAAGAGAAACAATGATTGAAATACGGTGAGAGCGCCTTTCCAGATACTGTTTTGTCATTAAATAATTTAACAAAGCGAAACAACAAAAACAAAATCCTCTTGCAACTGGTATTGGTGAGAAACAAAATAATTATACAGTTAAAACTACCGTCTTGATGTTTAAATTATCACCTGTTCTAAATTCTTAGCACATCTGAGCACCTGGTCTACCAACATACATGTGACTTAAAATGGGGTTTGCTGCATTTGATAACTCATCTCTTCCTTGTGACTCATTTAAAATGCTATCCATCTATCCTTGAGCCCACAAGGAACTGTTGGCATAAGCCATGCTGCCAACGCCAATCCCTATCCTGCCGCAAGTGTGCTACTACCAAATAGTGATATCCTTACTGACTGTGCACAGCCCCGATTAAGGCAAGGAATTCAGTTGTTCCCCTTCCCTTTACCCAAAAGTCAACTACCCCTTTAAAATGGGCTGGAATAGGAAAGGTGGTGAGCTTTGATGGATGATGAGTAACAACACATCTCCCCATCCACCCCACATGTAATTGGATTTTAATGTTTGGTTTCAACTTATCTGTATGTATGAGTATATGTATACAATAGGTAAATTAATCAATGGGATAGCATTTGTTTATTTGATTGCTTGATTTCTATAGCCACCCATCTTAACAAATGACCGTGGATGACTCATGATTTAAAACATGTTAGAATTAAAATCTTAAAAACATTTTAAAACAATAAAAATAATAACAGTAACAGTAAAAAAAATATTAAAGCGTCTAATTCAAAGTACACACAAAACAATCACTGGAGGTTTTCAAAAACAGACTGGACAGCCATTTGATTGGGATGATCTAAGACTCCTGCCTTGAGCAGGGATTGGGACTAGAAGACCTCATTACAATATTTTTAAACATAGGTTTAGCTTTCTTACAGAAGAACACTAAACCTGTGTTTAAAAATAGCCTCTGCTAACAATTAACAAGGATGCAGGAGGGTTGCGGGAGTTACACCACAGCATGTAACACTGTGCATGCCTCTCAACTATTAGGAGGTACACAAAAGTGAGCAGTGTGGTGAACAGAAGACTATCACCACATCATACAACATCCCTCCAATATTGATTTAAAAAAAACCTCTTTTATGGCACTAAATATCTAAAACTTGATTGAACTGTACATGACAGGCTATGAAGTGGTAGTATGAAAGCCAGCTTGTACTCCCACTTTATGCACAGTCGCTACCACTAGCAGCCAGCTGTCATTCAACCAGTTGAGGTGACTGTACCAAGATCGTCCCAGAGCCTATCAAGCTAAAGGGGAAAGCCCAATTTGAAAGAATTGAACTCTTACTGCCTATCAGTCCACCCAGGTAAACCGGACAGGAAACATGAGCAGATGAGCTAATTGTATTTTATCTTACAGCTACATTAACAGAATCTTGAAAGTCTGAAGGTACCAATCCCCCGTCTTATCAATTACGCCAAGTCCTTCCTAAGTTTGACCATTAAGCCACTGGGGGCTCATCCCTCTCGTATGAAATTTCCTAGGCAGCATCTCTTCCCTTCATCACTTGAGATCATTCTCATACCATTATACTGCCAAAAGCAGAATGGTCCTTAGGGGACAGTGCCCTGGGATAGGGAGACACGGGCCCTCTCCAACCTAAAGGGGCCAATAATTGCTGGGTTGATTCTACTCCCTACACTCGTTTGACAGAACAATTACTTAAACATATCAGTTTGGAAAGTAAAAGGTACTATGGCTTGTTGCCTGCTTAACGGGAATATACTACTTTAAAACCAGAAGAGCTTTAAGCTGTTTTAGGTATGGATTTGGGATAAGATGAAACCAGAATCATGACACTGCAGAAAGCAAAGGATATGTTTGAGATATGTACCCTGACTAGGTACAAGTAGGGAAAGTCCCTAAATTCACTAAAATGAGCAAGAGCCAGAGAAGAGATTTTTTTTTCATTTCTGAACTTCTAAAATGGTGACTTGGCAGAAGGCAATAAACCACAATTGCTACATTCTCAATTTACCTTTGTAATAGGGCATTAAGCCCAGGAAAGCCTGCCGCACTTTCTCTCCTTTCAGGGGCTGGAGCTCTTCTAGACTGTCTAGCAAGGGTCCTATGGAATAATACTGAGCTTCCTTGTAAACAGACCTCACTCGTTCTCTTGGAGGTAAGTCACCAGATCGTAGAAAATTAAGCACATCCCTAAAAACAAAAAGGAAACAAACAGAACTGCTGAAATAGTGGCTACCTCTTTTCTCTTTTCAGAAATGTTATTGAATGTAGCGGTTTATTGCTATTTAAATATTTTTTAAATAATTAAAAACTCATCAAGTAGCATATTTTCATTTTAAGTTCTTAAAAATATAGATCGCCAGCACTATTTTTAAGGGCCAATCCCTGTTCATTTGTGCACAGGAAAAAGCACCTATGATGAAACTTGGGGTCAAGTATGTATGAACTATTTAAAGACAGAAAATGCAATACATTATTCAAGTAACTAAGACAGAACTATAAAGACAGTTTCCTGAGAATAAATTGCATTGAAAGTTGCAGCCTAACATATTGAATAAATAACTGAAATGAAACTACAGACAACCGCCAATATCAGGGAGCAAAAAAAATGGCTAAGTGAAAATGTATCTAAAACATTGCTTTCTAAAACAGTTAGAGTACCTGTTGCAACATGGATGTTACTTAATCATGAATCTAAAACATTGCTTTCTAAAACACTAACTGTTGCAACCTGGATGTTACTTAACCAAGTAGCAACCCTTGGCGTGCTACATATTTTCTGTGTGCCCCATTCTGAAGAAAACATGAGTGCAAAGGAAGAAGAGCTATATGGACTGAACTGTCCTCACGATACAAAATTAACCTATAGGTTCAAGAACTTTGTGGGGAAAAAATAGCACATAGTCAAATATTATGTACCCAAAATATGCTCCATCTCTGTCAATAAAATATCTGCCCTCAGCATCTGTTGGGATGTAATGCCGGCCACTGAACATGGCTGACAACATGGTATCTTCATGACGTCTCAGTGTTGATAGCCTGGTCATGAAATGGGTGCCTCCAACATTTAGTGGAACTACTTCAGGAAACTGAAAATAATAAATGGTTTTGAAAATTAAATATGGCATGGATAAAATAGAAAAGTGTTTTCATTCTCACATAATATCAGAATTTGGATCATTGATGAACAACAGGTAGTCCTTGACTTACAACAGTTTATTTAGGGACCATTCAAAGTTACAATGGCACTGAAGAAAGTGACTTATGATCGTTTTTCACACGACCGTTGCGGCATCCCCATGATCATGTGGTCAAAATTCAGACACTTGACCATTGACTCATATTTATGACTGCAGTTTCCCAAGGGTCATGTGATCACCTTTTGCAACCTTCTGATAAACAAAGTCAATGGGGAAGCCAGATTTATTTTACAACCATGTTACTAACTTAACAGCTGCAGTGATTCACTTAACAAATGTGTCCCCAAGGTAAAATGAGGCAAATGTCTCACTTAGCAACATAAATTTTGGGCTCAATTATGGCCATAAGTCGAGGATTACCTGTAAAAAATCCTCCAAGAAAAGTACATCTGATTCCAATAATGTCTTCTCTTAGACAACAATTGTGGATATGCCTGCTAATCCATTTGTAGGATATCAATCTTTTCAGTGAGCAGACTGCTTTATTTCTTGTAAATTTGTTTTTTTTCTCTTTTGAAAATATATGTTGATTTAAAGTTTGTATTTAAGGATTACAGATTTCATGAATGGACTACCTTTGGAGGAAGAGTGTTATAGAAATTAATAATAACAATTGACAATAGAATCAAGACTGCAATAAGGTCCTTCTTAGATGATTTTAAAAAGAATTAGAGACAATTTTAAAGGGCTATCAATAGTTACAAGTCAAACAGCTATATTCCATTTGATAATACGTGGAATGTCTATTTTAATCACAATGCTGGAATAAACATTGTTGGAAACAATCCTATTTCTATCACTCTTAGAAGAAAGTAGGCAGGCAGACTTGAAAAAAGATAGTTGTTTAGCCAACTTGTGCCCAAACCATTTAATAAAATCATCACAATTTTGAATTGTGCTGAAACCAAACCGGTAATTAGTACATCTGCGGCACAGTTAATGCAATATCAATCATGTGAATGTTTATTCTATCTACACTGCTGCAATCTGGATAAATGATGTTTCTAGATAGTCCTCAAAATAGATCCTATATACAGCATTCTGCAGTAAAAGCATCCATGTAACATTTGTTTTAACATATGTTTCACCAAGGGCAGGGCTGACATTCCCAAGAAGAGCCTAAGCAGGGTAAAAACATACTGTAATTGGGCACAGCTGCTATCTGAGCATCCAGAGACAAAACAGTCCAGATGTATTCCTAAGCCTATATGAAACGTAAAGATTAAGTATGCCACTTAATACCAATTGCTGGGTTTCTATAGCACAGGCCGGTTTCTTGGGAGTATTTGGCGACAAAGGGGGGAGGGAGAATGCTGGACTAAATTGATCTAATTCAGATAGCTTCAATGTTCACGTCACCATGAACGTTGAAACTTACTCACAGAATCTCTGGGGAGACTGTATACAGAACAAACAGAGAAAGGGTACATACAGATTCAAAGACCTTCACTAGGAACGACCAGTATACTCAAGCCAGTTTGTCTATCTGCAATAGCAAAATTATCTGTGAATTTTAGGAATTTTCACGCATTCAGACTCTTAATAAAACAGATTTGGTATTCACAACTTTAGAACTACCAAGAAAACTGATTAGGTTTGAATAATGGTCCACTAAAGCAGGGCTTTTCAACCAGTGGTACGGGTACCACTTGTGGTACATTGGCACCTGGCAGGTGGTACGCGACCATCCTAGAAAAGTGGTAGTGGGGGAGGGGAATGACCTGAACCGGTGGCAGCACCACACAAGCCTGAGTGAGAGATGGCTGGAGCAGCAGAGCTGTCACGGCTCAGTGGAAGCGTCAGGATCAGCGCCAGGCTCCAGCTGGAGCTCAGCATTGATAATGGTGCTTCTGCTGAACCCAGAAGAAGCAGCGATCAGCTGGAATGTTGCAGCATCTCCAGGGTCTTGTGATTTACATTCAGATGCTTGGCAACTGATTCATATTTATGATGGTCACAGTGTCCCAGGGTCATGTGAAGTGACCAAAACCTGCTGCAACCACCCAGTAGACAGGGGGAATAAAAACCAAACACCCCCCACTCCACCCCCACTGCCAATCCTCAACAGAAATGCTCACAACAATGAAAATCTCGGACAGGAGGAAGAGCGCTGCTGAGCAGGCAGGCGTCTTGCTTGGCTGTGGCTTGGGGGGCACTTTTTTCAGTGCCATTGTAACTTCAAACAGTCACTAAGCGAACTGTTGTAAGTCGAGGAATATCTGTACTTTATCACTTTTTTCCTTTTTTGGGGGGTCATCAAGTTTTTGACATCTTGCTAGGTGACTAGTGGTACTTGGATGTTGCCATATCCTAAAAGTGGTACAATGGGTGAAAAGATTGAAAAGCCCTGCACTAAAGGATGCACAGGCCTCCTTTATCTGTGGTTTTCCTTGTATTCCAAAACCAAGAATATTGTTTAACACATGTGGTGGGCCAGCCAGTCAGCTGAAATGAACTTCCTTGAAACTCAACTTAACTTAAAAACACACATTTAGAAGAATTACTCTTACATGCAAAGAGGCAGTGTAGAACAGTGGTTATACTACTGGAGTGGAAATGAAGAGTTCAGTCTCAGCCACAGAAACTCATTTGGTGATTTTGAACCACTTATTCTCTCTCAGTGGATTGTTGTGGGGGGAAAAATGAGTGCTATGTAAGCTGCCTGGAGCTTCTAACAAAAGGCAGGATAAAAGTCTAATTAAATAAAAATAAATACATGTGAAACCTAGTAGATATGGGTAACTTGGAAAATTCTTAATTGTCAGAATATTTAAAAGCCAGGACAAACATATTGTAAGGATTTGAATTTATTTTAAAATATTGCTTCAGTGGAATTATTTATTAATATTCCACTTTTGACCAGAATGAATTATAATAATAGCCCATCAATAAAGTATACTTCTATTTTCTTACAATAATTATTTATCCCCTAACTATCACCAAAGGTTCTCTGGGCAATTTAAATCAAGTCACTACCACAAGCTAGCCTGAATACAGAAGAAAAAGAAGTTTGAAAAAGTAATTCATATTCAGAATAGCTCTAGAGACATTGCACTGGCAACTCCCACAAAGAGAATATTGTATGCTAGCACAAGCAGAATAATGTACAAGGATACAGCATGTATTAAATCGCTCACCTGCTGAGGAAGCAGGGGCAGCGAGTGCTCTGGCTGGGTTGCTGTTGGAGTGGCAGGCTCTTGAAAATCATCCTCTGCATCTGAGCTCGACATGGCATCGCCCAGGTGTCCACAAGCTTTGGTCTGTCCCGTGACTACAACCATCCCTCTGGTTCTTGTAACTGGGTCTGCTTGACAGGCAGCCGTGGCAAGGCTAGTGGGAAGTTGAGAGCCATGTTAATTCAAAAGCCCTTCTTTAAGGAAATCTAATAAGAATGGACCACTGTGGGGCAGCAGGCACTCAGGGATGCTCCACATTGTTGTTTACAAGTGTCACTGCTATTCTCGGGAAGTGAATCACAATCATATAGTTACTGCATCTGCAATTATCTACAAGCTCTGAGGGACATACCGTGGGAGGGCCCCCATTTACACAAAGCACCAGGAAACCTTCTTGTCAGATTTCATAGCCAACCAAATCCCCAGTGGGAACTATGCTTCGCTGACTGGTTGTTCAACTTGCTGTTAGTTGCAGGACTGTTATTTGCTTCTCCAAACTCAGCTTAACAATTGGGAATACCTGGTGCTCAGTAGCCATTTGGTAATCCCCAAAGCTGTCAACCACAGCTGCTCTCAGACTGGGCAGTCTGTTCTTGGACATTCCCCTGCTGAAAGTGGGGAAAATCCAAAATTCCAAAATCACAATACACAAAAGGAAATATTATTCAGCCAATTATAATAATAATAATAATAATAATAATAATAATAATAATAATAATAATAATAATAAGCAATTTACAGAAATCTACCACCATTAAATAGAATTTTACCATCATACCTAGTTTGACAGAAATGGTTCTCTGGGAAGGGGGGTGTCATAACACCACGTATAAAAATGTGGGCTGACAAATTTAAGTAGCCGATTTCTCCAGTAGTGATCAAGAAATGGAAACAGGAAATTAAAGGTGCTTTTTAGTTTTGTTTTTAACCTGGATTTTTATGTATTTTATTCAGGGATTGGTGATACTGCTTTTAATTAGCATTTCATTTTCTTGGTCACTTCAAACATCACAACACACAATGGAGCATAACATCTGGACTGCAAGTAAACAGCCCTGGAAAGGGGGAGTTTGCTCATATGTTTGAAATAAAAAATACATTAGTTTTACTTTGAAGATGTATTTCTTGGACTAGGAACAATCTATGCTACAGAACACACTTTTTAAATGTCTTCAGGCCTATAGAAACTATTTTGCTCCTATTCTACAGCATCTAGGAATTATATACTTATCCTGAATAGCAGCATAAAAGAGAACCTAATGCAACTTTGCTCTTATCCTAGAAGCAAGATGGATAGTACCTAAATTTGATTAAATAAATAAATGAAAATATACAGCAAGTAAAAAATACAGTAAGAGTTTACTCTAGTACACACTTTCAGATTTTGGTCCAAATTTTGTAGACTCATAAATGCAAAACACTTCATCAGCAAAGTTTTGGTACTGTGTTCTCCCAGTTGATATTTGTCAGAAAACATTTCTATTTATCCTTTTCTAACTTCATGTCCTTTTATTTTTTTGTAGATTTCCACTTTACATTTTATATTGTAAATTGTAGACATGCATACATCTGACACACCCTTTAATTACAGCACAATATTTGTTCTAAACTGATTTTACAATTATCTCATCTAATAGATTTCATTACATGAAAAAATGTTCTCCCAATTTACAAGCCACATACCTATTTGTCTTCCTCATATAATTTTTGATTGGTGCTTCATAATTTGTGTAAATGAATAGATCTGTTTGCAGAGTGGGTAGTCATATTAGTAGGAGGAACAGCAGAATCTTTTGGCATTTCAAACTGTCTTGTATTTATTATGATAGAAGCTTTAATGGGCTCAGCCAAGATCCTCTTTTCCTTTTTGCTCTTACTCAATCTTATTCAATTAGACAGAATAACCTACAGATCTCTTTTCCAATTCACAGAAAGATCTTCATAAATCCATCCTACAATAAACCCAGTCTGATTCTTAATCTTATTGAATTAACCCAAATTATTAAGAGATTATTGAGAACTAAAATACAAAGACTGAATTTGCACCATCTTTTCCCATCTGGTAGATCTTCATCCTCTTTTGCTGCTTAAGGAAAGCCAAATGCAAATCATAACACCCCTGCTTTGTCCATGGGGACTTGAGCACAGGTGGGCCTTTTTACCTTGTTGATGAGAAGAAGCCTAATGCTGTTTCTCAGCTGATGTTGCATGAGGTGCAAATTACATTTACTGTAAGGCACTTTCCTGATAGAATGACACCCAAGCTAACCATAGGACAAAAAGTATCTGAGCTGCAGCCAGGGATGTCCAATCCCAGGCCAGTAAGCCACATGCAGCCCTGGACAGCTAGCAGTGCAATCCCACAAGATCGTAAACTTTTAACATTTATGTGCATTTCATATACATTAACTATTATATGCAGTCTAAGACAATTCCTCTTCACTCATTGCGGCCCAGGCAAGCCAAAAGGTTGGAAGTGCCTTCTTTAGACTCCAGTTCAAATATCACACAAAAGCTGAACAAAAATTTAAAACAATTGAGCCAAATAAAGACAATTATCATTTACTTTCTCCACCCACACAGACAGCCCTCAACTTTATTGCTCCTTGTCCACTATATGGAGAACTGAAGTCCTACTCTAATAAAAGCTAGCATTCCCCATCCGGAGTCCACCAGATAATGGGGCTCAACAGCAAGCCAAAATCCCCAGCAAGCAAAACCAAAAAGTCAGGCTGGTTATAATTGATGAGGGTTGTAATCTGAATCAAATCAACCTTTATTGTCAAAGTACAACATGTGTACAGTAAATATCTGGAAGTTAAAATTAGAAAAGAACCCACCAAAGAGAAGGGGCTTCCTCCTCCTCCCTCGCCCTCCGTTCTGCCACTGAGTAAATAAAACAAGTCTTGCTTGGCAGAAAGCAATCAAAAAGAAAAAGAATGGGCCAAAGTTTGGCCCTTGCTAAGGACCACACCCAAAAGGGGGAAGGTCTGCAACTGCCACGCTCCCAGAGGGCCCTCATCTCGGAAAGAAACTGGGCTTCTTCACCTGCTCCTTTTGCCCACGCTCAGAAAAGGGGAGGAGCCTCAAGATCACTTAGTGCTCGGGGCGGAGCCAGGTTGCCGTAGGAGCTTCTGAGACCGGCCTTCCATGCGCTCACCTGTTGGTCTATTCGCCGATGAAAAATGGCGGCGATATTTGCTGCCACCAAAGCTGGTTCTCCTCGTTGCCTCCCGGATGAATTGGAGTGATATTTGGGCGCTCCTCAATCAAAGCCTGGCTCCCCGACCGCCTTCCCCGCCCCGCAGGCCTCCGCCATCCGGGTACTTTGAGATTGACGAGGACAAGACAGATTATAGGCTGTCCAGTGGACGGAGTGAGGCCAAAAAAGCTCCGCCCCCTTCTCTGCTACATCCTCCAACTGGCTCAAGCCCTTCTCTATCTCCCATGGCGACGAGATGCAGCAGCGGAAGGTCTCCGCTCCGATTCTCGCGCTTCTTCTGGTTGCCAGGGAAACGGAGGCTCACAACGAGCAGCCGAAGTGATGTATGGAGAATTTAACTTGCTCCGCCAATAAATAATGAATACGCTTCGTCTCTGTTGTTTGCTACCTTTTATTATATCTTCCCCTTGAAATGAAGTAGAGCAATTCTCCTGTGGGGAAGGGGAGATAAATCTTCCAAATGATGGGTGTGTTCACACAATGCACTTACGTTACTTTATTGTTGAATTAACCCATTTTTTGGGTTTACACAATATGTTAAATAGTTTTTTTAAGGGGGGCAATTGCCTGGTGTTGGCGGCAATCTGTCCACTAATTTAGTATTTGAAACTTAATGATTCAAAGTAACAGAATAACATAGTAGGAAGGGACCTTGGAGGTCTTCTAGTCCAACCCTGTGCTCAAGCGGGAGATCCTATACCATTCCAGACAAGTGGCTGTCCAGTCTTTTTTTAAAAGCCTCCAGTGATGGAGCACCCACAACTTCTGGAGGCAAGCTGCTCCATTGGTTTATTGTTCTCACTGTCAAGAAATTTCTCCTTAGTTCTAGGTTGGTTCTCTCCTTAATTAGTTTTCATCCATTGTTTCTTGTCTTGCCTTCTGGTGCTTTGGAAATTGGGTTGATTCCCTCTTCTTTGTGGCAGCCCCTCAAATACTGCTATCATGTCACCCCTAGTCCTTTTCACTAGACTAGACAAACCCAATTCCTGCACTATTTTTATTCAAGAGTACTAAAGTGGATAGTTAAAATATGTCACTTGCTTCATTATTTTAGAGTACCTCAATAGATAAAACAAAAATAATTTTGACCTGACAACATATCTATTTTAGAGAGAATTGGGACTCTTCAAAAGAACTTGGTGTAGTTGAAACCATACATTTTCCTAATAAGATGGGCTTGCATAACAAGGACAGTGAAGTTAAAAGTACTATATTTAACATTGCTGTGGAAATATATCTGCTAAGACTTCATCGGACTTAAAGGCAAAGAAAGGACAAACTAGGATATAGAGGTACTCTACTTCTATGAGACGAAATTATAAGTCAAATTGATAAACTAAAAAGAACCAAATGCTTGGTATAGATCAGGGGTAGTCAACCTTGGGTCTTTTATGACTCGTGGACTTCAATTCCCAGAATTCCTGAGCCAGCTTACCTTAGCTGGCTCAGGAATTCTGGGAGTTGAAGTCCACGAGTCATAAAAGACCCAAGGTTGACTACCCCTGGTATAGATGATATCTACACAAGTCATGACTAGAAGGAACTATTTTTAATATTAAGCAAAAATTAAAAATATGGGAGCCTAACCTCAAAGAGACAGGAGTTCAAAAGTAATGTTAGAAAGTATTATTTCCTAGAAAGAGTAGTAGAGGCCTGGAACCAATTTCCAGTGGAGATAGTGGGTCAATCATCAGTAATTAAATTTAAACATGCTTGGGATAAACATATGTCCATCATACAACAATTTTTTTAAAAAAACTCAAGGACATACTCGATATATCACTTGGTCTTTTTCTGCATTTTCTATATTTCTCTGAGCATGCAGACATGAACAAGACCTGGATTTTCAAATAGAATGAAAGAATAAAGAATATTTGAGGGCAA